ATTTACCAAAAATCCAGAAATAAATTTAAAAAAAGTTAAATAAATTTAAAATAAAATCTAAATATGTTTAAAGTATTCTAGAATGTGTTTACAAGCCTTTTCAAGGGGGAAAGTGCAGGTTCCAAGCACCAAATTATGGCCGATGGTGCTGAAAAGGTGCTGAGGTGCTGAGAAGGTGCTGAGGTGCTGAGAAAGTGCTGAGGTGCTGAGAAGGTGCTGAGGTGTTGAGAAGGTGCTGAGGTGTTGACGATGGATAGGGATGCAACGGTGACGAAAACCGTAGATACGGTTACCGGCCTAACTACGGTAATAGTAGCTACGGTTACCAGTCCAACTAAGATAACCATAAATACCGTTACCAGTCCAAGCCCGTTTTCACAAAGGAAAGAGTTTTTTAAGAAAATAACGATTCTTTATAAAGGTTGACGAGAGTAAATCGAGGTCGAAGAATCCGAATCTGTAGTTAGTCTTTCAATCTGAGTTTTCATTGGTTAGAAAATGGACCAATCAGAAACGAGCTTTTTTATTTTGAGGCTTTTCGAGCTTTTCATAAAACTTTGCAATAGGTTATCCATATCGAGGAATTCGAATCTGAGATCCTTTTTTCAATGTGAGCTCTCATTGGCCAGAAAATAGACCAATCGGAAATGAGCTTTTTTAAAGTAAGGCTTTTCCATCTTTTGATAAAACTTTGCAATAGGTTATCGATATCGAGGAATTCGAATCTGAAGTCAGTTATCATATTTGAGCTTTCATTGGTCAGTAAATGGACCAATCAGAAATGAACATTTTTATATTAAGCCTTTTGAATCTTTTGATAAAACTTTGCAATAGATTATCGATACCGAGGAATTCGAATGTGAAGTCAGTTATTCTGTCTGAGCTTTAATTGGTCAGAAAATGGACCAATCAGAAACGAGCTTTTTTATATTAAGGCTTTTCGATCTTTTGTTAAAAACTTTGCAATAGGTTATCGATATCCAGGAATCGAAATCCGAAGTCATTTTGTCTGTCTAGGGTTTCATTAGTCAGAAAATGGACCAATCGGAAACAAGCTTTTTTTTCCTTCACTGGAGTGAGGATCATATGAGATAAAATGAGTTTATGACCTCGCAGTCATTGGGATAGTAGCGCATTCAGACGTATTAGCGTGATTACAGGTTCGATAATCTCAATAACATCAAATATATATGAAGCTCCTTTAGGCAGGCAGTTCAGGCAATTAAATATTTTTGGTGTTCGCTATCAGTCTGTCAAGCTTTATTTGTTTCGTATTACCGTCCCTTCAGTCGAGGGAAAAAAGCTCGTTTCTAATTGGTCCATTTTCTGACCAATTAAAGCTCAGATAGAATAACTCACCTCAGATTCGGATTCCTCGATATCGATAACCTATTGCAAAGTTTTATCAAAAGATGGAAAAGCCTTACTTTAAAAAAGCTCATTTCCGATTGGCCCATTTTCTGACCAATAAAAGGTCAGACAGAATAATTGACTTCAGATTCAGATTTCTGAATATCGATAACCTATTGCAAAGTTTTATCAAAAGATCGAAAACCCTTAATATAAAAATGCTCATTTCCGATTGGTCTATTTTCTGGCCAATGAGAGCTCACATTGAAAAAAGGATCTCAGATTCGAATTCCTCGATATGGATAACCTATTGCAAAGTTTTATGAAAAGCTCGAAAAGCCTCAAAATAAAAAAGCTCGTTTCTGATTGGTCCATTTTCTAACCAATGAAAACTCAGATTGAAAGACTAACTACAGATTCGGATTCTTCGACCTCGATTTACTCTCGTCAACCTTTATAAAGAATCGTTATTTTCTTAAAAAACTCTTTCCTTCGTGAAAACGGGCTTGGACTGGTAACGGTATTTATGATTATCTTAGTTGAACTAGTAACCGTGCCTACGGTTATCGTAGATGGACCGGCAATCGTACCTACAGTTACGGTAGTCGGACCGGTAACCGTAGCTACGGTTATCGTAGTTAGGCCAGTAGCCGTACCTACGGTTACCGTACTTAGAGCGGTAACCGTGTCTATGGTGTGCCGATGAATGATCGTCACCGTTGCATCCCTAACGATGGAACGTTCAGAATCGATGATCACTTTTTAAATTTTAGTGATACCAATTTGTAGAGCTTGTTAAGTTATTAACTGATATAATAATCGTTTGGGCTAACAACTCCCTTAAGAGTAAATTTCTTCTAATCAAAGTTTGCATTAGTCTATCATACCATATGGGGTCAAAGGTAAAAGGTCAAGGTACTGAGCTTTAATCTTTGAATAAAATGTATAAGCACCTCAGCACCTTTAGTACCCAAAGGTGCTGAAAAGGTGATGAGAAGGTGCTGAGGTGCTGAACAGGTGCTGAGCTGCTGAGAAGGTGCAGAGGTGCTGCGAGTTTCAAACCTGCACTTTCCCCCTTGATTAGAACGTGTGAAAGAACCAAAAGATAAATAACATCTTTTTTGTTTTTTTTTGTCGAACTTAGTTTTTTTTGCTCTAATCAGTATTATGGAATATTTTTGATACTTATTTTGGACACTTATTTTTCATTAAAACTTAGATTATCACATTGTATGTGTATGTGCGTATTTAAAGCAAAACATCTCCTATTTTATTGAAAATAAAACTAGTCTTTCGTGAATTATTTGCAACTAATTGAACTAAGTTACAATATCAAAAAGATGCTAAAAAGGTGCTGAGAAGGTGCTGAGAAGGTGCTGAGGTGCTGAGAAGGTGCTGAGGTGCTGA